ATATTCTACGCACATGTCTCTCTACGCGATTAGGCGTGCACCGATTAATAATCGATGTTAGAACATTCAACAAAGTCGTTCTGAATCAGTTATAAAAAACCACTTAGAGCTGCCGAATGTCGCATTTTGTAGAAAAATGTTTCCTCTATCAAACTGAAGTGTAAACATTTTTTTTAGTGTTATCTGTGACAGAAATATAAGCATTCAAGACTGAGCAAAACTGCAAAAAAATAATCGATTATATTTTTCTACGATTTTGGTGTTTTCGATTTATCATATTCTCGTTATATATAACATTAAAATTTTTCTAGCACCTTACTTTGGTAGAGCAAATATTCTTCTACAAAGTGAGACATTCGGCAGCTCTCAGTGTTTTTTTATAACTGATTCCGAACGACTTTGCTGAATGCCCTAACATCGATTATTAATCGGTGCATGCCTAATTGGGTTATATTTTGATTCAAAATGGGATATAGAGCATGCGTCTGTACTGCAAAAGCAGGCTGAACTCAAGCGACCCAATAATATTGTGAAAACCCAGTATATTGGGTGACCAATATTATTGGTACCCAATATATTGTATTGGTGCATGTCTATACGCGATGATATACATGAAGATTGTTCTCTTTCCTCTCTGCTTTCGTATTTTTTTAAAACCAAAACTCTATTGAATTTACAAAACAGAACAAAGGAGGTGGCGTCTATACTCCCCCGACCCGCTAATTTTTTTTCTTCTAATAGCTATTTTGTGTTGTTAGCGGTGTGAGACTGTGAAATCATTGAACTAGACCTTGGACATTTGTACTTTTTTTTCGACGGGGTAACGACAGAACTGCAAATAGAAGCCCGAACATTAGGTGGGTGTAAAACAAAATTTCTCTCGCTGAGGTAGTGTAAAATTGATAAAAAAAATTTTGTGCGAGGAATAATGGATAAAATAACAACAGCTTTTTCAATTATTCGGAGGACGGGCATCCTCCCACACTCTCCCGTTATTTGTGGCTCTGAATAACGGTACTCCTTACTCAATTTTCTGACAATAGCGATTTTTTATGGTGGTGTACGTGAAAAAGAAAGAGATGGTCAGATATCGAAGTGAACTTGAAATTATTAGATGGATCAAAGTGCCTCTTTAACCTATACAACTTTGAGATCGCTTATTGTTTTCGCAAAGTTATTGGCGCTTTACTCTCCCAGCAAAAGTAGTGGAATTTTGCCTTTTCGCAGCTATTTTGCCCCATCGTGTGAAGTTCACACCGGGTCTTATCCCACTCCAGAATTGACGCGGATGGTTTTAAATGAAATAGCATTGCAGAATTTTGAAGATTGGAATTTTCTATGATGAATAACGATAAAATTTTATTCTAAAACAAAAAGGATAAAGTCTGAGATACATTTTCTATATTATTTCACAACTCATATCGAACTTTAATCGTAGTTTGTTTAATCTCCATCAATAATTGTGTGAAAATGTAACAGAAGACGCATATGGTATAACGGCATAAAATGTACAGATTTGGATAAAAGAGAGATATTGGTAGAACAAAAAAATAGGTAAAACAAAATGATGTATTCACACTAAAATTAAAAATTGAACGTAAATATAGATAAATAATAAGAAATGTGCTGTTATCTGTTTGAATGCATGAGTATATTTAGAGATTGAAAACACTCTACTATATAGTACATCCTATCTCATCCAAGTATCTCGAGCCATAAAACTGGTATATCCTTTTAAACTCTTAGGCTGCCTAAATCATTCACGGAAGGGAGAGTGTCATGCTGGGAAGTGTGAATTTAGTGAGTAAATGAATTACAATTTGCAGTGGATTAGGCTAAACTCCAGAGACAGATCGAACCTATGAAATATGAGTTATACATAAATCATTCATAAATTTAAAGTTAGAATCATTCATAGATTTTTGCATCACTATTTTTTGTTCATTAAAAAACACGACAGCATGAACATACTAAGTACAAGGTATCCGAACAAGGTAGAAAATATGAGCTATTACACGTTCGAATATGATTTATAGCTGATATGAGACACACCATTCTATTTCAGCATGCTTTTGCATAGCATAAAGTATTTCATATCATTATTACATGAGACTATTGTGGATAATAAACACACGTTCTATCTTCAAATCTTGTCTTTGTTTTCTGAGTTGTCGTAGTAAAGATGGAGTCCGTCTAAGATTTGAAATCGATTAATCGCATTTTAATGTTTTATGCTATGTAAAAACATGTTGAAATAGAATGATGTGTCTCATATTAGCTATAAATCATATTCGAACATGTAATAGCTCATCTTTTCTCTACAAACCTGTTATCGTTGAAAACGTTTACACTTGAGTTAAACACTAGAAATAAGTAGATAGTGAGTCGTACTTAAGATTCGTCAATGAGCGTAAAAAGTAAATCGATCTATGGGGCTTGAGATTATTTTTTAATTTTAGTTAAGCTACAACAGATGTATGCAGTATTTCCAATGATACATTTAACATTACCTTTTGATCAGTTTTAGATAGAGAAAATAAATGCACTTTTAAGGGTATCCCCCTCCCTCTTTTTCACCCTCTCAAAAATCGGGGAAGCCAATTTTTGATCGGAGTGAAATTTATACAAGAGATAGAACTTCGAAAAAGAAAATCGAAATATTTTTGTCCAAAATTTTCTGACATGTTCTTCTATGGTTTTTCTGGAAGACTCTAGTTTTCATCCAGTCACATTACGACCTCTCGAAAAAATGGTCCGATCGATGTAGAAATTTTACCACAGATACTTTAGACCCTATCTCAGGTTAGTTTTTTTTTCTTTTCGAAAAATTTGCTTTCCTTCTCGAAATATTCGAAAAATGTTAAAAGTCCTGTATAAAAAACCTTTTTTATTTTAAAAACCTTCTCAAGCCGAAAGTTCAAATCGAAAACGCTTAAAAAAAACGAACCTGAGATAGGGTCTAACGTATCTGTGGTAAAAATTTGACCTCAATCGGACAATTTTTTCGACTGGTTGTAATATGACCCGATTGAAGAAGGGACTATCGAAAAAACGCATAATGAGAAAAACATATATTGTAAGATCCATAGGAAGCAAACTTGTAATGAAATTTATTTATAGGCCATTGGATAGAGGAGATAGCGATGATCACGAATATGTGTTCCTCGATTTATTTTGACACTTTTTTCGGTCGAAAAACTCAAAATACTGGAATGGTGTCAAAACTCGGGAAAACGTAAAGTTTCAAAAAATGGTCTTAGTTTTTTGTGTTAGGGTTTTAATGCTTGAAACAAAGTTTTTTGGATTCAGCATCTAAAACTGCATTAAGAAATGGTCTTGAAACATTTTTAGAGCCAAACGTCTATTCACAATAAATTTTCCAATGTGCATGGCTCAAAGACGGCACCCAATCTTGCAAATATATCATAGGTTTCCGTAGCGGTAGTAGAGCCAATATTTTCACGTGGTTAGGTTCGCTGGATGCTCAGCTTCAAAACTATACGAACAGTTTTTTGAAATTCCTTTTAGTTGCTGAGAAAAGGCATTTTTTCTACATCACAGGCGAAAAACTTGGAATCCTGCCCGTCTCTGTTTTTCAGGGCATTTGTGGCTATGTATATATATCTCCTTGAAAACTCATCTGAAAATTCTGGTCGTCTCATTTGAAGAGCACACTTTCTTCCATCATGCTATTTATGAGCATAAGAAAAAGTTTAAGAAATTATAAAACAGAATTTTGAATATATAGGAAAGGAGAGAAAAATTTACGAAACTAAAAAGTTGAGGTTTTCTAAGCTTCGAAAGAAAAACTTGAAAACGTAATTTTTTTAAGGAAGGTCGTGGACAGATGGGAGTAGTCTCATTTTATAGGCCAGACTTTTCTCAACATTAGACAAAGTTCAGCTCAAAATGAAAAGTTTTTTTGCAAAAACAGAGGGAGGGGGTCCTCTTAAGTAATCTATTCTCACGATTGTGTTTAAAGAACATGTAAAGGCGATTTTCCGCAAAAATTTGAGTGAACAACAGGATAGTAGCGATAACAGCACAACCCTATTAGATCCAATCATGCAATACATATCGAGTCAAAATAGATGTCCCTATACTGTACTCGAGCTACTTATCGTTGTTTTATTCATAACGGTATGATTATAAGTAGCCGGCAGAAAAAGTAGTTATTTTACAGATAATGCCTCCTATTTCGGTAACGGAAAAGATCTGAGCAGAGATATTTTTGAATTAGTCATGTCCTTATGATTATAAGTAACCTGCAAAACTCCAACTCCGCTCGAAATTTTCCAACTGTAACTCCAACTCCGTCAACAAAAATCTCTCTCAACTTCACTTTTGTAAAAAAAAGATTTTTCGATTTTTAACAGGATTTTGGACGTTTTTGATCTTTTTCCAGGCGGAAAGCGCAAAGAGCTTCCGAATTCACTCGTGAATATAGCCACTCAACCGTTTAGAAGATCAGTTTTAAAATGATTGAATATTTCCAAAAATACAAAACGGAGTTGAGAATAAAAATTCAAAAACCCAACTCCAACCTCCTAAAATCTCAACTCCAACTCGACCGTGAAGATCCCGAAAATGAGCATAATAAATCTCTACCAGATTTGCGAACGGTCGTCGGAAAACTTTTAGATTTTTTCATTAAACATTTAGTTAGTTTTTGATTGAAAGAAAAGTACTGGCTAAAAAATAAGATGTCTGTCGAACTCGAACTTCGAATCCAAATTGGTTCGAAACATCTCTAGGTGTAGGTCAAAAACTATTTGATGATTAATCAATACTATTTTTTATTACATGTTAAACTGTTTAAGTACAACTGGTTTCTCTTCAACACATACAAATATAAAAGAACAAATGAAACAAGAAAACAAAAAAACTGTTACGTTTCACATAGACCTCTTCATACTAGTAATAAATAAAGTGAACAAAAAAAAAAGAAAATAATATAAACAAGCGACATAGATAAATCATACAATAAATAAAGATTTATTTTAAAACTGTTCAATAAACCATTGTGGCAAAAACTGATATTTTTCCTCATTTGTTGAACGCCATTTAATCACTTTTTCTTTAGGAGAATAATAAAATAAATAACATAATCTAAATAAAAATCAATATATCAAAACGATTAGATTTGATAAAAGAAATTAATTTAACTTTTTTATACTCACTTCTCATCCAAATAATCATTGATTACAGTTTTTTTGACAAACATACAAAATTCATTTAAAAATGATAAAAATGAACTTGCACTCCATGTTTTCTGAAAGGAGAAAAACAATATTAGAGTTTAGAACGTTTCATCGAGTGGTTCATGCAAATTGAAATAAATCGATCACTCACTGCTCTTTGCTCAATATCTTTCAGTGATAACGGTTGAATTGAATTAACAATTCCAAATGCATCACGGAAGCCAATTAACATTTGTTGAATACCAGTTAGATAGCATTGTGCCCACCATTTACCATATTTTCGTGAACTAAAATTTAAACAGAATTTACAATTATCATTTTTCATTCCTATTATTTCGATCACTTGCCAATCTGTATGTAAATCAATTAAACTATTTGCATAAACAACTTTAATTTCCACATATTTTTTTTCACCTATATCTAATTTTGAATCTCGTGTAACCGCATCAATTTCACATCCATACAACATTGTGTGAATGCCCAAATTAGCCAAATTTACCGAAGAAAATAGTTTTTTTGGTGATGGAATAAACTCTGGCTTTTCTAAATAGTAACACATAACATTTATTTCTATGAAATAAGAATACAAGTTTTATTATACTTGATGATAAATAATCTTCAAATTTGTGTCCTAGAATATATATATATATATAACTTACTTATGGAAGAGCCTGAGTATGTGAAAAAAGTTTACAAAACTAACGGGTGACGCAGAATAAATGGCGGTCTCAGTATTTTGCTTATAACTTGGTTTGGATTTGTTTCCGAGACTCGATATCTTTTTTAAAGATGTGCTGCGAAATTCCCTACAAAATCATACCTAAACTATAATTTCAGAACTTCAATCAAGAAAACTAAGCCAATTAGATGAAAGCCGAAAAAAATGAAAACTTTCCAAATTCAAAAATGATTTCTTGTATTAACGTTTTGAAAGTAAGGAAAAATGGAGTAGCCATTTTGTAGCCCTGACTTCGTTCTATCTTTCAACTACACTTCAAATTTTTTCACATCAAAAACCACGACGAAATAATAGTTTTTCTGTCGGTTGTCATGCATTTTTTTATTAATTTTTTAAATTTTGGGTATAGTAGTGCTTTCAGTAAAAAACCCATAACTTCATCGAACTAAAAGCTTTTTCGATCGGGTTTGCTTTGTTTTGATCAGAAATGATTGCTCTTCTCTATCTAACTGCAAAACCAAAACTTCAATCATGTTTTCCGTGTCTTGCTTGAGCACATTCTTGGAAACGGGGAGATTGTCAACCTTTGACATATTTTTGTAACATCATTCTCCAGCACACCATCTGCTTGAGAAAAATTTTTTACAGACCACGAGAAAGAGCACATTTGAAAGTACCAAACATAAACTGAGTTCTCATTTTTGCTACACTTTTTAGCGGAAATAGTAGCAGAAGAAAAAGCTGAAATCGAAAAAACTTTTGAGTTTGGAAAGTTTTCATTTATTTCGACTTTCATCTAATTGGCTTAGTTTTCTTGATTGAAGTTCTGAAATTATAGTTTAGGTATTATAGAGTATTTTGCAACGCATCTTTTAGAAAAGATATTGAGTCTTGGAAACAAATTCAAACCAAGTTATAAGCAAAATACTGAGACCGCCATTTATTCTGGGCACCCGTTACATATGATAGCAGATTTATCAAATAAATAATTGCACGAAAGAAATAAAGAAATCTTACTCACCCCAGTAGCACATTCTTTTATCTATGGCTGTTTGTGAATGTTCAATATTCAATTCTGTTTCAGTGTGATAAATATGAATAAAATGACATCCTTTAAATTTAATAATACCAATTCGCCAATCACAGCTATTATCGAACAATGATTGACACATTATTTTACGAAGAGTACCACGCCATGATAAAAAGTCAAATATAAATCTAAATAGAATAATAGAAAAAGACAGAATAGACTAAGATTTTGGAAGAAAGAGACATTGGACAACATTTTCTGTTTTTGGTCAAAAAATAAAACAACTTAAAAAATACTCGAATTATTTTCACTGACATTTTTGTAATTAATTATGGAAGAAAAGTTCAAAGAAGACAACTTAAATATATAAATTCTTTTAATACTCACTTTTCATTTCGAAATATGTCTTTTTTATGATTTATTAACCACCATAATAAAGATTCTAACGATGTTGGTGGTTCTTTTGGTTCCAAATAGGGTGCACCAATATTTAAATCAAATTTTACTTTTCGTTGTTCTAAATCGTATAATAAATGTTTTAAATAGCGATAATCTTCACGACATCGAGAACGATTTGATCTAAAATAAAATAAGATATATACATCATTTACAAATTACCAAGCGTTTATTGACCTATCCGCTGTTGAAAAATAGCCAATTTCATTTTGTAGAAATGACACTGAATGAAGTGAATATTTTTTCCAATATTGAACAGTTAGACACGTTGGTGATTGATATGAATCGGGAAATTGTACACATGGTAAAAAGACAAGTGGTATACGTTGATCTTTTAATACAAGTGGCAATTCAACAGGTTCACAAACGATCGGAAGTAGACAACAATCATCTTTTTTTGTGCGAGAAGGATGTTTCTTTTTAACTGTAGAGGAGACTGCAGTTTTCGAAGATTTATTTGATGGTTGTTTCTCATCATTTAGAATAGAAGTCGACTGTGCCGACTGTGATGGTAATACTGTAACAAGTTGTGAACGATGTTGAGATGATGATTTTTGTTGTGAATGATGATCATATTTGTCATCTAAAACTAAAATTTCTTTATGGAGATCATACGATTCTACTATGCATTCAAAAAAGTCAAAACATCGAACTGTCTAGAAAAGGTTAAAGTTAATTGTAAATTATGTATACTTAGCAACAATCCAAGCAGAAACAGCAGTGACGTCTTGGAAAATTGAAAAATAAAACTCACATCGAGGACGTATATATAAATTTGGAAATTGGTGGTGATCTTCTTGCAGTGTTTTTTCTGATGATTGTTTTTGTTCACTTTCGAGTATTTTTGGTACCGTTTTGGGAACCGGGATGATTGATTTACATTTTGGTTTTGTAGTCTGAGATATTTCTTGATGATGACCATCCTTATATGCATCTATTTTTGATAATAATGCTGGAAATTCTCCTTTTTGATCTTCTCGTGAATTAATCATTGAATGCTGAAAAATCCGCAGAGATAAATATACAACTCAGCTGACAATTTTTCTCTTGTCAGCACATTAAGCTTTTTCTCATAGTAGACAAATATTATTACTCACTTGCTTATATGGCTGTCCTGATTTTACTTCTTCATCAGTTCCATTGTCATCTGAGTCGTATGGAACTAATTTTGCTAAAAGTTTTGGTAATTGTTGCTGTGATTGTCTTTCTTCTTCGGTATAATTTGCTTGAAAATCTCTCGATGATGATAATTTTGATATTATCGATGGTGGTGGTGGTTCAAGATAGCCAAGTATTCGTGAACGGCCGCGACCGGAACCATCAAAAGAATGATGAGGGTCAGCAAACATGTGTGTTGATTAACTAAACTTTAGATGAATGTGCACTTATTGTATCTAGAGATTATTAAAGAGACGACAATACAATTTCTACAAACCAAAGGCGCACACCAGTCAAAACACAAGATACTTTTTTCAAGTTAAAACCGTCTTTTAGTTCTCAGAATAAAGTTGATAATCCTAGTATGCAAAAAACGGATGTGTAAATGTGGTCATATGTCATGACGACAGAGATAGGCGAGTACGCGTATATACTCGTACTCGAGTATACTCGAGTACAAAATTTCCAGCACTCGTACTCGGGACTTTTTTACGAGTACTTAAAAATGTACTCGGGTATTTTCGAGTACTTGAAATTTTTTAACATAGAATAACCTATAATTAACATAACTTTTTTCAAGAGTATTTTCTTCTTTTAAAAATTTTTATACTCGAGTACTTTTTAGAAAATACTCGTACTTGTACTCATACTCGAGGCCCAGTACTCGTACTCGAGAATCTGCGTACTCGCCCATCTCTGCATGACGACAAGACTAGATTCCAGCCACAATAGTCTAGCTTTTCATAGTCAGTAGTTACGCAGTCAGTAGTACGTCAGTGAGTTCTATTTCTTATGTATCTTTTGTTTCGCTTCTTCTCAGTCTTTTTGAAGAAAAGCTGCGCATTGTAATGTGCACGTGCATTCTATATCATCGATATAAAAAATAAGGCAATATGAAGGCAACGAAAGCGAGACAGACATTTTTGTTCTACTATATTATTATCAAACGTGTGAATAAGAAAAGCGCCTAGTCCTGAAGTGATACATTCCTCCTTGTTAGAAGCTGAATGAGAGTAAAGCAAACTAACTGTATATTGGCGTCCTCTATGTACTGCTAAGAGATCGAGAGAGAAAACCAAATTTTACACTTTTAGGCTTTAATGGATTTCAATGGACTTACGGCATCTTATATGGAATTAGATGAACTTATGAAGTCTATCACAATCCACTTGAATTTTACAAATCTAATCATGTTGAACACTTTTATTTAATACCGTCGGTTACCGCGGTATGATAATCTGAGATGGCTCGGTATATCGGTGGTAACCGATATTCTCCACATAACATATCGGTGCGAAAAATATCGCTCAGTACACAGTTTTAACATTATTCACTTTATAGTTTTGATAGTTAGAGGAGTATGTAACAACAGCAAAAAATCAAGAGATTTCTAACTTTTTTCTCACTGACTCGTCGAAGTGCATGAACTTTGACTTGAATAGTCTGCCGTAGGATGTCCTGTGATGAAGCTCATCCGCGACTATCGGTCAGCCTAAAACTACAATAAAAACGTTGAAAAAAACTATCACCGATATTTGTGTTTTACTGGAGGTGTTTTGGAAATACCGCCCCATTTACCGTCGGTATACCGAACGATGTATCAAACGGTATACTGGCAGTATTTTCTCGGTATTCAGGGCGTGGATATCAAAGGCCGTATCATCGCGTACTTTAAAGGTACTGCTCAAGCCCACTGTCTTATCGCATATCGCGGCGCGAGTCGCTTAAAAAATTCTTTTTTTCTAAAAAACTTTTTAGCGTAGTTTCATAATTAGATGAGATCACAACATCTCCATGAACTATTCGTACTCTAATAAATAATTCATTATAATTTAACTCACGCCTTCTTTTTAATCAATGAAGATTAAAGTAAATAACAAAACAGCGGTAAAATAACAATAAAAAAAAAGAAATAAGAATAAAAAATATTGAGATTTGAAAAATAGACTAAAAACATATCACATTATCAGTGAATTCAAATGAGATGAAGTTTTTTTTTTTATTATATTGCGTTCGTTGAAGCTTTTCGATATATTCGATGAGGATCAGATAATTATGCGGGTGCTAAAGTGAAACCTTGTAGATGATTGAATAATACTTGTTTTTCCACTTGTATAGCAACATTTACGACATGGTACTTTTTCAAAATGGATTGAATCTAAAAGAATAAGATCCCTAATCTTCTGACAAGATTCTAGTTTTAAAAAAATACGCACTAAAACCTATTTTAAGCACTTTTATCTTTAAAAAATACGGAGAAGGCAACAACAGCTAAAAATAAACTATTCACAAAACCTGATCATATTTACACTCGGCTATAACTAAAATAAAACTAGATAAAACATGAGTTATAGACAGATATTGTCTTACCCGTTTGAAAATACTCGAGTAGGTTTCCATCTTAACATGAGTGATGCCGTTAATCCCATAATTAATGCTGTACAATCAAATAACATATGAAATCCATCTAAAATTAAACCTAAACTATTTGTTTACACCGTATAGCAATTCAACAAAAGTAAACATCTAAAGAAACAAAACATATGAGAAATTCTCAGTAAAGAACTGATAGTTGTAACGATACATAGTATCAGTCAATCAGTCACTGTCTTAACTCAAAACGTAAATATTTATCTCTTCAGCTTAAAAGACTGTGTTTGAAAGTGTACTCTCTAATTTATACAAAATAATGAATAAAAACCAATGCAGAATATCAATTATTTTAACAGTGATATAAATACTCACCAAATTAATGCATAAAAAGATGAATATCCTTCTGGAATTATACTCGGCCAGAATATTTTGCAGACTACTGATGATTTGAAAACTAAATGATTAGGAAGAGGAGGATAAATGATTAAATATTGGTTACGAGTAATCAATTAATGCACCAGAGCGCGATTTCTGGGAAGATGATAATAAATCAGTCGCCAACACAAAAGAAAACAATATTATGTATCAACTGAAATTAAGAAAATAAAAAATCGTAAACAATAATGTTTATTTTTCTCATATTACATACTAAAAACTAACATAACAATAGCAAATATTACACCATCTGAGAGAGCATGTTCTTCAGCAATTCTTGTGTTTTGCTCAATGTCACTGACTACAGACTTGGCTGAACGTCCTCATATGAAAGAAATAGTAAGTACTGCTATGATCATTGTATAAGTTGCAAATATTGACGTTTTTCTTTTGTCTAATCTAACTAACGACAGTCGATCACAGTAAAAGTCAATAACAAATATACATACGCTGGTCGAAATAACTCAAAATATGTTTGAAAAATAGAACAATTGAATTATACGGGTTGGACTGAAGAGATGTTATAAATTTACCAGTTAATTCAATCGAACTACTATCAACATCTGATGATTTCAACTAAACAAAACAAAAAAATTGCAGGAATGAATTAAGCCGGCAATAAATATAAAACAAAATTTATAAAATGTGTTCCAAGATTTTTATGACGAAGACTTGTACTCATTAACTAGAAATGTTTGTTTAATCAGTATAATAGTCGATAACGATATTAAGATGCATGTTGACAGACATACAGGAAGAGTGTAAAATCTCTTTGGACCACCAACATCTTGAATTAATTTTAAATTTGAATTGTTTGTTGTACATCTTAATAATAAGGTTAATAATAAAATTAATACTCCACCTTTGTGGTCAACCACGCGAATTAACGATGTTAAACGGTAGAATAAATGGGCGAAAAGTTGATGATGTAAATAACCTTTAGAATGATCTAGTCGGCCGGTACGAAACGTCTAAAAAAGTTAAGCTGTCGGCGTATTGTGAAAAAAAAAGCCCAAAACAACATAATATGTACGCATTTTTCAAAAACTTAAGTATATCTGACAAACCTTTTAAAAGATACTAGACGCATTTTCTCATCTCCGCTAATGGAGTCGTGAGTGTAACTTTGACCGACATTCTGGGATACAACTTTCATAGATTTGACATATTTTCTCATGACAAAAAATATGATCAGACACAATACCTACTCTTTGTCTACTTTCATCATTGTCAAATGCAAATATGACTAAGATAGATAATAGCAAAACAACCGCTCCTCTCCTTGTTATGCCTGCTTGATGAAATGTAAAACACGTTAGTATGATAAAATCGTAATGTTCAAATAGTAATACGGCACGAAACGGACCACACAGTGTCAAACCAAATAACTACAGTAACGTATCACAGTTAAACAAAAAGAATATTTTACTAAACCATAGAGAATAGATTTTATTTCAGGAATTGATGGTTTTTGAATAAATAAAAGACATATGGATGCTATGAGTGAACATAAAAATAATAGAATAACAACATGTAACAATTTTAACAAATCGTAACATAAAAATAGACACAAACATTTAAAACATTTGTATATTACTAATAAACATAGAATATAAATACGGACGTTAATGAACTTTGAACTATGGGAGTTTTTGATACATTATTTATTGACATTAAAGCCATTCACTGGCAAAAACACATACTCCTCACCTTCTCAAACATATCTGAATAAAAAAATATCAAAGAATCAGATTAGAAAAGAATGTTAACAAAATTAGAATGTAAAATGAACAGAAAACTTGAAGGAACATATTGCAATCTTCATACCAATTCGACTTAATACAAAATACTTCAATCATGTTTTGATGGAAATTCTAGACATTATAACAGGTTGTCTCTTATGTATTTACTTTTGGCTAACCATTCTGAGATGCTAACAGTATTTGGAGTGTCGCACGTACTTTTTGGCACTATGGCACAATATCAAAATGAAGGAAATAAATAATATAAAATCTGGAGTTGGCATTTAATTTTAAATGCTATGTTATGCTTACCATATCCTAGTTTTCTCAAATATTAATTTCACATTTTTTCCACAAACAGCTTTGGTGAAGACGTTTTCACAAACTAGACTGATCTTGATCTCTCTCATTACCAACACGAAACGTCAGCTCAGTTGATTAATATTCTAGCGACAAAAAGAAAAAAATGATAATAATAGAATCAACGCGGGAAGTTTCTACAATTTTTTCAGTACAACCTATAAATAATTGATAAAATGAATTTGCCAAATCTTCATGTTCGACAAAAACTATTCCTGTCTTGTTATATTTTTAAGATAATTCGTGACTATTCAGTATTATCATTATTAAATCTAATTTCAATGTGAACTACACAATCATCTTCAATGTGCAAATTGATTACAGTAATTAGTACTAAATAATTCTAACACTTTGTACTGTAAGGACGCTACGGGTCGCAGTCATCTTGCAAATAAATATAATAATTTCAACACTTCAGTTAGTCACAACCACATTTTTTTTCACAAATGAGTAGTGATTACAATAAATTAGTGAGAACACGATCTGACATTATGACATGTACATCATCAGGCATATTTGAACACTATATTTTAGTATGTTTGAACATCAAGTAGTAAATAATCAACAGTAGAACTAACAGAATAGTTAGACTGTGGAGCAGTACCCTATAAAAAAAATTCCAGTGCGGCACTGGTAAATTTATGCGAACCGAGCACTGTCAGTGCGCACCGGTGCGCACGACATGCCATCGGTCACTGGCACTAGATGGCGCCGGTGCGCATTCATGTCCAGCAAGTGTTGAACTAATGCTGATATATTTCTGCCGAAAGAGTGCTGCACTGGTAAAAATCAGTGTCGCATGGGTGCCGCACTAATAATTTATCTAATCAGTTTAATTAGTTTTTTATGTTGAATTTTGTATGAGAATGCGGCGGCACTGATCAGTACCACATTGAGATGCCAAAACCATGCGGCATTGTCTCGGCACTTCTCTTATGAGAAGGAAAAGATGAAGTCAGAAAGACATTCGAAATATCAGAAGTATACTGTGGTGTTAATATAGATAGAAATTGACAAAACAAAACTTCGACACTGGTACGATATTTTTACATTCTTTTGGGCATCGATGTGCATCGGTGCCCAAAAAAAAATTATTCGGCACCGATGCGCACCCGTGCACAACCGGTGCCGATAAAATATTTTTTTGTAGGATAGAAAAATATATAATAAAATTGAAACAGAGAATATTCCTGTAAAATTGTTGTTATTTTCTACTATCTATACGGCCATTCCACGTAACTCTGCTGCCGGAAAGTTGAGTGCGTTACCGTTTTTAGGGAACTTCCAAACGTTATAACTTTTTAAGGAAAAGTCGTGGAGAGCTGCGTAACATCTCATTAAAAAGAAGATATGAAGCTCTTCAAAACTGGATTTAAAGGAACTCTTAAAATTTTTTCGTTTCGATGATATATCAAGATAATTGGAAGGTATTATTTTGAAAAAAATCAAGTTGAGGGGAGAAGTCTCTACAAAATAGACTAGAGACTACAAATCTGGTATTTAAATCTCTGATAGCATTTTTCTCGTTTGAGTACCATTCAATATTTTGAATGGTGCTGAGTTGTCGAACTGCGAAGTGCTCTTGTCCTCCTCTTTTTTTGAGATTTTTCGCCGATTGTCTGAGGTTCAATATTCAATTTTTCTACGTAGATAGATAGAAAATTTTATGTTCTATTGATCTCACTTATTTACAACTCCATACAATGTTTCTGCTATGTCAACCGAACTCATAATTAGTTCTCAACCGGCTTTTTTAATATTTTACTTGATCATTTCAATTGAGAAATTTTGTTTATATATCAAAAGATGCAGAATTTAATTCTGTGTACGTTAGTAAGACTAAAACCCTGGATTCAGAACGTTTTACTGCTTTTATAGTTAAAAAACTAAAGTTTGTGAAAAATAGGTTCAAAAGTTAGATTGTTTTAGATTTATCAGTTTTTTACACAGAGAAATTAGTGTCGTATTTGTAAAAGTATGGCAATTTTACCGTGACTTTGTGTTCCAAGATGTGTGCGATTCTTTTAAGCAACATGCAGAAGTAGAAGAATATTTAAAAGGCCGCATCTAATTGGCTATGTTTTGCCGCATTGACAGCACGATAGATATCACTCAATCAAAGTACTTTTTCATAGCATGTTACGACGACAAGCTTCTTATCAAGGAACAGAGTATAAAGTAAAACTTGACGTCAATTTTTCTTAGGGAGAACTTTTTCATGATTCTTATTCGAACAACAATCGACTTATTGATTGTGAATAATGATGGCATCTGCAAGCTAAATGGCCTCCTTAGTGAATGTACTTGGTACAAGTACTTGATGAGTATTTGGGAAGTACGCGACAAGTTAAGCACTTGAGCAAGAATCTGCCAAGTGTCCTTACTTGACTTGGTTCAGCCAGGTACTTCGATAAATCAGTCACCCTTTTCTTTTGTATTGACTACTTGTACATAAACACCACAATATCAATCGTTATACACTTATAAAAAAAACTAACCTCATGGATACAATAATTTCGGGTTGTGGCAACCTCAAAATTTATAGGTATAGGTAGGTACCTACTCATACCTACTCGTACCTACTACTACCTACCCGCAATCCTGAGTGTCCATGGAGATCCAACACCACTCAATAGTGTCGCTGCAACACCAAGACATGAGTAGGTATGGGTAGATCATATGTGGGTGTGTATGGATACGTACAGGTATGTATGGGTAGGGTGTGCATATAGATGTGGGTAGGTGGTATGTCAATTTTGGGTTGCAGCAATGTTACAATTTTGAGGTTGCGGCAACCCCAAAGTGTCCATTCTATCAATAAACTTATATACTTCTATTCAGTTGAACAAACTTAGTAGCCGTGCATGTATTTGCTCTACAAAAGTAAGTAGCTATAGCGCCATGTGTATAAAATACAAAAAAAATTGGTGCAACAAGCACTTGATTGAACTTTTTTTTTTTATATCTATAAATTATTTTCTTTCAGACTGCGAGCAAACTCTCTCACACTTTCGTTCAGATAAAAGAAAAAAGTATTTGCGGATTCTTCTGAAATCGAGAGAAGAGGGAGTGGCAGCACCGTTCTTCGTTCGTGAGTGTTTTTTTATTTCTAAAGTTGGGGTAAGCCGTGGGTTAAATGAAAATGTTCGGAGTACATTTTTCCCAATTTGGAGTCATATTTTCAAAAAAGCAGGAAGGAGGTTCCCTTCTCTCGCTCGTCTGGTGGGGCGGCCCTGGAGAGATCTTAATCAATATCGAAAACTTTTTGAATAGACAAAAAAGTTATCTAAGTGTTAAAATATCCGCATTTATGTTTATACAGGAATGCAAAATAAAACGAAGATTCAAGAACTTCCAAGGTCTTGGGTACAAGATTCAGTCACTCAAGGTCTTACTCAAGATCTCACTCTTTTTTTGTATATAAATACGAATATTTTTCGCTTTTGAACATACATAGTTGTATAAGGAAGAAGCTATGATAAAATCTGATGGCTATGACTTTGATATATGAACACAAAGCTAACAAAAAATGTTCACTAAAGATTTTCCAAAATTTCGATTCACGATCTTGAAGCTTATGCTCATAAGTAGGCATACACCGGTTAAAAACCGGTTTTTTTATATTTTTTTCGCAGAAACTAAATTGTACGAAGAGTATGGCATATTAAATTTTTCTCACAACTGAGTTTTGCAGACCACACATTTCTCATTTTCATGTGGGTGTGTATGGATACGCACAGGTATGTATGGGTAGGGTGTGCATATAGATGTGGGTAGGTGGTCGATTGCAAAGAAAATATGGAAAGATTCCTATAGCTCATTCTATAGAGAAATGTTTGCTCTGTAAAACTCAGTTGTGAGAAAAATTTAATATGCCATACTCTTTATACAATCTATTTTCGAAAATAGTTAAAAATATCGGTTTTTAACCGGTGCATGTCTACTTATAAGATGTTGATTTTTTGGTATTTTTTCCATGTTGGATATAAAAAGTTCCACTAAGGCCTTTCACATCTTTGTAAAAGACCTTAGTCACCTTCTACTCACGAGTACTCATGTATTTTTTAATCACTGAGTACTTTTATGAGCGCACATGTGCGAGTATTGAGTGCTCATATAAGAATTTCATGAGTATTCAAATGAGACTTTAAATAATACTTATGAGTATTTTTAAACACTTTTTCGTTTATCATTCTTTTAAGGAAATATTGCCCAATACTTAGAGTTTGGCTATGAGTTCGATCCTAGGCGAGCGCACCTCTGATTGTGACAGAAATACTAGCGAAAACATTTCTAAGTTTCTATAGTGGAATCTGTGTATCTAATATAGCTACCTCTTTGCAAAACAAAAAGATGAATGAGTATTTCCTGAGTACTCATACGAGTGTGATTACTTATCTGAGTACTCAAATACTCAATGAGTACAATTTACTGAGTAAGTACTTACAGAGTACTCTGGTACACTATTTTGAGTAAGCCGTGCTCACGGTATGAGTACATTCAGTAGACCAAGATTTCTAAAATCATTGAGTATACACTCCAGTATAAACACACGATTGACAGAGATCTGTAATTGTACATGTCTCAAGAAAGAGCAGTATAAGTCACAATACATTCATTAGGGAAGTTAACTAAGTTTCCAGGTGCTTAATACCGACGGTTAACGCACGGTATACCGCCATTGTAAACAAAAATACCGTCCGGTTACCACGAGGTATGTCACCATACCGTCGGTATACCCGGCAGTACCGTCTAGTATTTTATCATTATGAATATGTAGAACAGGAGTTCGAAACTAATTTTCAACTTTCTTTTTTTTATTGTTCAGCATTTGTAAGCGCAGATAAGCTCCCGACTGCGAGAGATTTGACTCGAGCTTATATGATCTAAAAGAAAAGTTTAAACTCAAGAAGAAATCACCTTTCTCAAATTTTTTGGTGTTTCTTTTATATCTTCACGGATGCAAAATACAATGGTGATCGGACAAAAGCGGTTACTGTGCGATATTTTCTTAGATCGTGTTCTAATAAGCTACCCTTTTAACCGCACGGCATACCGACGGTATTTTAAACAAAAGCTTGACATGGGTTGGCAGTGTCTCCTCTAAAGAACGTACTTGAGATCAAGTACTTTAATCACTTCTGAAGTTTATGCAGATACTTCTGAGTTACTTATCAAGTGCTCCAACAAGTATTTGATAAGTACCTTACAGTACTTATAAGTAAAGTTACTTGTGAAAAAGTATCGGAGACTAGCGTCATTATTTTTACGAAGTGCCTTTTCAAGTACATTTATTATTAAGCTCCATATGTAAAGCCAAAATGTTTTTTGAATTTTGAAATAGGTATAATATAGAAATAAAAGAAGGTCTAATTCGGTCGAATAAATCTAAGGCAACCGCTAGGAAAGTTCAACTTTCGCTCATGAACATGAGCGCCATCTTCCGTTTTCAAATGTAATCAAGATTTTTTGATTAATTTCACTTGCCCGATTATGTCAACACAAGTCTAAAAAGTAGACGGATGCGTTTTAAACGTTGGTGGTACTATCAATATTTGCACTGCATACGTGACATAGCTTGATGTTCAGGGAGAGGAGTTAAAAAAAACACGTCAAATAGAAATATAAACTTAAGAGAGTTCGAGGGAACTGGTTAAGATATGTCAATAGAAGGCGAGCGCCAAGAGTAAAGCCATATCATCTTAATCAAAGGGTTTTTAGAGCTTGTTCGGTCGAAACTGAATCCAGATTTAGACATTCCATAGTCTATCAACCGGCTCTAATTTTTTCAATAAGAAGCTTTCTTGAACATCTTGACTTCGATTTTCATACTTCTCTATAATAACATTTGTTGAATTTGGGTAGATTTTTCAATATGCAATTTATACTTCAAATCTCATTTTGTGTATACAATAGTAGTGTTTCATTTTTAACTTAAGGTCAGCATAAGATGCATATGTAAATTGAGATTGAAGTACAAATACAAAACTGCTTGAATATTTAAAAGAAAACAGCTGCATTATTAGTTATTAAATTTACAAGAAAACGTTTTAGAAATAAAGCTTAAATTGTTGGGCTGTTATTCAATTTTAGATGCATAATTCATTTCCACTCACAACGTCGATGACAGCAGCATCAAGTAATAGTTCATTAAATTCGTGGCCAAATGAAAACTATAGTGAGTAATTCGAACCTCTTTCTTTTTCACGCTACGTAAGTCCTTTATTTAGACCCAACGACGTATTTTCCCACAGCCTCTTCTCTTCGTTCGTCATTGACAATGTCTAATTTGGCTGATCGAATACTGAATTTAAGCAGCGGCAGTTTTTTTACTGAACCATTAACATTGAAACACGACAGCCATAATATAGAACAGTCAAAAATACAACGCTGGTCTGTAAGACGTTATCTGCGTGAGACTTGTACGTTAGTTTATTTTGCTGTTCTAGTTTATCAGATGCAAGTAACCTTAATCAATGTGGAATTGAAATGTCATTACCATCGTCAATATCAAATGGACAGTCTCAAATGCAACTAGGAGTAAGTAGTTCGACTGCACTAGCGAAATAGATGCATATTTGTGTGTTCATTTTATCTGTTAAAAGCCTACTTGGCAGTAGATATGCACCAGTTCCAGTTTTTAACTGTGAGAACTGGAACTGTTGAGAACTTGTGCTGTTGACTTTTCAAAACCAATTTTCTATCTAATTAAATCGAAAGGCACATCATTGGATGCAGTTTTTCACACTGACCACGAAAATCAATTTTAAAATTTATAAAAATTCAAACTTCAACATAAAAATTTAAATTTTAAGCTTTAAAGTTTTGTATTTTCAATTTCCTCACCTAGACATTTTCTTGGAAAAATTCAAAACTATGCGTCGATAGAGCATTCAATTCTCTACAAAGTGGCTTATTTTTTTCGAACTTCCGATGCTTAGAACAGGTTTTACAACCAAAAGAGTTTTCTGGAAACCAGTTTTTTTTGAAAGTTTTGAAACGAATTCAACAGAAGTTTTAACTATTGATAGAATTTAAAATTTCTGTTGAATTCGTTTCAAAACTTTCAAAAAAAAACTG